GAAACACACTACCTTTAATAATGAAGGGCTTGAAGGTGCACTAGAAGGGAAATAAGGGCTCAAAGGCTCATTCGGAAAGAGGTAGGGTTAGAAAACGCACTACCTTAAATGGTTGAGGGCTCGAAGGTGCACTCAAAAGAAAATAAAGGCTCGAAGGAGCACTCTAAAAGAGGTAGGGTAAGAAACGCACTACCTTTGATGGTCAAAGGCTCGAAGGCGTACTAAAAAGAAATGAAGGCTCGAAAGCACACTCGAAAAGAGGTTTTCAAGTCTTGGCCATTTCAGGGTAACCTTCCTTTTAATGGATCCCATCAAGAATTTTTCTTAATAAATCCATACAAAACACAATGCTTTAATGTTTCAAAGTTATATGATATGCATGCATCTTTACCTGATTTGAAATATAAACCCTCATTTCTTCTTAATCTTCTCGTTGCTTCATTAACAAGGTTTTCCCATATGATTTGAGTCATCTTTATCGCTTGACTTCTAGCTTACTTAAGGTAACTTTTGTGGGTCATTTCCAGAATATTTGTAATTTTACACAGCTCAACCTTTATGGTGACCCATTTACTTGTTGTAAATTCTTTGTCTTGTTGATCAATTTGAGACTAATTATTCATTAATTCTTCATCTCACTTCAACAACCTTTGGTGTCCCTTATTGAAAAGATCAAAATGCATTTTATAAACAAAAATGCCCTTTCATCTCATTGTAGGAAATTTCCCTTCCTATTTTCCTATTACCCGAAAGGATCAAATCCCCTTCAAAGCACAATATTACCCCCTTATATGAGTCATTATTCCACAGTGTGCTCCATTAGTGACTTGGACAAATGATATTTTTAAGTAACCCTTCTCTCTCTGGTTTTTTTTGTTTGGATGAAAAAATCTGTCTAAAATGAATCTTGAAATCTTAATCTTGCATTTTGACAACAAAAATTGTTTTGATGTGAGTTTAAAACAATTTACTTTTGAATTCTTGCAACTCCTTGGTTATTTTCTTGGAAATGAGATAATTTATTCTTGTATTGGCAATGTTGCCATTAATGAAGGTACATCAGGAGGTGACCTTCTGCTTTTATGGGTTTTAAAAATGGAAAGCTCGAGATTTTGTTTAAGAAAAATTTCTCTTTTTTGAACATTCATTTTATCAGCATGAATAATAATGAGTAGTTTGTTCTTGATGTCATGACTACTATGAAAAAAAGTATTTTTTGCATTTTGAGAGCATTATTTATTGTTCCAGATTGATTGCTTCCTTTATAAAGGACTTCTACAGGCACGTGATGTAGGCTGTTACTTTTTTCTATGAAAAAAAAAGGAATTCAAAAGGCTCAAAGAGTGTTTCAAGGTTTTAAAACTAAGAATCACTATCAACAGTTTGACTTTTGACGTCATTTATATTTTCTTTTACCATCTAGTTTGACTTTTGATGTCATTTATATTTTCTTTTACCATTTTCTTATTTTTTTTTTCTTTTTCATTGCTTTGCTAGAGCATACTCACTTTATAATGTATATCACTTTTTCTTGTGATTTAGGTATGCCCCATATTTTTTTATAATGATTTGGGCATGCTCCTTAGCATTTTAGTTTATTGAGCTTTTATGCCTTTTATGGCTTTCTCATAGCTTTTTCTCTTTTTTTTATTAAAATTTTCTCTTGCCCTTGGTGTGGGGTGTGATCTTATTTGGGATTTTTTTTAATGAAAAAAATTATTCAGGCTCAAAAAAGGATTGAAGGAATGTACTTATTTTAGAACATGAAAGGAATAAAAAAGATGACATTTTCTCATTTCAAGCTCAAGTAGCTATGATCAATAAACTTTGACAACATCTAGTATAATGGTTTGGTCTTTGCAAAGAGATTCATTTTATGAGTCATGAACAACGAGTTCACTAAATATCATTATTCACACATATAAAACACACATGTTTCAAAAGTTACGCGGTTAATGTGTTTATTCATTTTTTTCTTTCTTTTTTCTTTTTTTATCCATGATGTAGTCACCTCAATGGTAAAGTTGCTTAATTCACTTGTCATTCTACAAGTGGAATATCAAAAATATTGTTTTTGAATAAAAATCAAATTATTTTTTAAATCAAAATGTCAGATCAATTTTTTAAAACTTCAATAATGAAACTATTTTTGGTAAAAGAGATGAATTATATCTATGAGATCACGCGAGACTTAAAAAATATATTTATGAGTTCTTATAAGAAAACTCTCTCAAGAAAATGGATAATGCTTGGTCGTAAACACGATTGAATGGTAAACTCATTATTTCATTGAAACTTTAGAAAAGAAGTTTAATAACAAAGAACTTATGTCAACATCTTGAGCTATGAATACTGGCATGGTAACATATAAAGAGGCTAAACATTTAGCAATCATTGATTGGAATTTTTGGAATTTGTCAATCACTCATTCTCTTCGATAATGACATTTATTTTTCACAGTTAGTTGAAGTCATATGCAAACCATTTTTAGCCTATTATCACTATAACTTTTTCTTTAAGATATTTGATTTCTAGGAGTCAGTATGAAGAAATTAGCTATAGGAATGATAAGTGCCTTGGCAAACACCTTTAGTGTTCTTTTCTTTTTAAGTGAAACCATTCTTCTCAGTCGGGTCAACAATTTTACCTAATCCAATGGCTTGTTCAATCCTTTCAATTATAACAACTAGGTTAGTGAAATGTTGTGTAAATCTTCTAACCAAGTATTCAAGGTACGAAGTTTTAAAGGTGTTGGAAAATATACTGATCATCTTTTTTTCCAGCATGAAAGGGTTATCTTGTGCAGCTACCTCACTCCATTTTCGGGTGTATTCGACCCATATCTATATTGAACTTATATTGCCTTATAAAGGCATCAACTAAATCCTTTTATTCTTTAGCCTTGGTATTGTCCAACCACATATATTAAGTAAGGGTAGTGTCATTCAAGCTGTCTTGAAAGAAATGAATTAACAGTTTCTCATCATCAACCACCTTAGCCATTTTGTTATATTATGCTTTAAGATGAGTTATAGGGCATTGGGTTCCCATATGTTTGACAAATTTTAGCACTCTAAACTTTTTGGGAATGACAATGTTGGGCATGAAACCAATCTCAATAACCTTTATAAGATCATATAGGCAAATTCCCTCAAATGCCTTTATTCTTTGCTCTAGGGCAACCAATTTGTTTTCTTTTACTATCTTGCCCTTTTGAAATTCTTTTTCTATAGAATCAATGACAAACCGTTAGAGAAATATGGCTTATTGAAAATTAGATGACAAACCGTTTGTCCCCAGATTCTGTGGATTAAAGGGATTTATGAACATAGGTTCGAGCTGAGCTATATATGTTGCTTTTCTAGATTTGTTTCTCAAGGCATGTTCAAGTATACTAGCAAGCCTTGCGACTTCTTCAAGATTGTCCATCTATTTTTGATGTTGGGCTTCCAATTGGGCTATTTCTTCGTTTTCCATTTCTTTTCCGCAAATGAATGATATAGATGGGTTTCAATAGGGAACCTATATTTCAACTTGGTAAATGCAAATTATGCAATTTATGCAAAAATATTAATTCAATTAAAAAATATGTATAAAATACAAACTTGCCCTTCACGGGGTGACAACTTAGTAGGAAGATCCTAATTGTTAGGTGCATAAAGGGGTTGGTCATGATCTAGTTTCAAAAGGTCTCTCGCATGCTCAGTGATTGTCTTTGAAAGATCGATATGAGGCTTACAAGTAGTGTGAAAATAGAGGCCCTAAGTAATATCAGTTTGGCATATCAAACACTTCCAAATAAATAATCAAACGAGAGTTGAATGGTTTCATGAGTCTTAGATTTAAGGTATATGCTCTTAACATAATGCATAATAATATAAATAAGGATACATGCTAAAGTAGTAAATGCAAAAAAAAATAATCAAATAAATACAACAAGCAAGATAGCAATAATAAGACATAAAGTAAAGTTTAGTCCTAAAAGTCCTAGTAGAGTCGTTATTCTGTCATACCCGATATCATGGTGGCCTTTAAAAAAAAAATTAGGAAAGAATAGATTTCTAACATTCTATTCTTTGATGGAAAACGGTATTATTTAAGGAGTCACCACCTAGTATTATGGTCATTAGGAATCTTAACTAGTCAATAGAGATTCTAGGTATGAGACTAGTTACGTAAAAGAAAAGACATTATCACCCCTTAAACGTTCTGCCTGAGGCAGACTGCATTGTTGATTTTGTCATAAATTACCTACATTTTTTTCAGTTTCTACTGTGATTGTTTACGTGTAATATTCCCTAGATCATCTCCGTTCTACGTACAAGGAAAAAATAGTTTTATTTAAATAAAGGTGGAAGAATGACAATGCTGCCATGGAAAAATGATTAAACATTCTTAACTCTTATGCATATATTCCAAAACAATCAAAATAGAAACCAAGATAAGCCAACCAGAACTGGTTGCCATACCCATCAATTATTATAGTTCGCAATTTAATTTACTCTAGAAGTTAGAGAACATGGTCGCATGCATAGAATGGACTAAAAGGAATTTATGCCCCTCATTCAAATACAATCAGTGGATTATAATCAAGCTAAAAGAAATTTTTTAACTAGGGACAAAGGAAAAAAATGGAAGACAAAGCTTCCTTCTGATCCAAATTATGCGAATAAGAACCAGATAACATAATTATATTTGCCTTCATTCTAGCTTTCTAAAAAATTAGCAACAAAATGAAAATATGATCGATAGGAGTGGCAGTGTATAGGCTGTCATCTATATGAAGAAAGAACAAATGAAAGGAAGGGGAAACAAGCACAAAGCATGTCAGGGATATCAGTTGAGTGGAAGTGTGTGGATGGGAAAGATATAGAGATGAAGCACATGCAATGCCTTAATGAAAGCATAAAGAATAAACATTAGGTCCAATTCAATATCTCAAAATTGTGATATCTAGAATCTATATTATATCATGTATATAATGTACACAGTAAACAATATTAGATAGGGAAGTTTGTGCATTTTTTAGTAAAGAACTGTATATATATGTATATACCTTGAGAAACATAATCCCCAAGACACCATGACATACATGATTGCTTAAATCAGTAAAGTTCTTGGAGCACTGCTCCCTCATTCATGAGGGAGCAGATAGTTTGTTGCCTTCCCTGAAAGAAGATGAAATCTGATAAGTGCTTATAAAGTGGTATTATAACAGCAAATGATGAATGCACGCACGTATATCTACCTGATTTTGGATGTCGAAGCAATAACAAAAATCCATTAATTCCAGCTGCAGCATTTGAGTAAATTTGTAATATAAATATAATTAAGGCAAAACCCATTGAGATCAATTCAGCTCACTATGATATTGTTAAACAAAAAATGAAATTCACATGAAAGAAATCAATGCATTCAATTACTTGTGAGTGGTATGAAACAAAAGTGTAGCACTAATATTAAGTAATTACCTCCTGCAGTGGGCGAAGGTGAAGGCGTGATCAAAAGACGAGACTCATTGGCCCCGCCTTCCCACCATTCCTTTTCCATTTCCTCCTTCACCACCTAAAATCAAATTGCTGCGGAGGGAAACAAACTTCTCCTTGTTACCTGGTCTCCATATACATCTATATATACGAATACGACTAGTCTTGCATGAAAAGCAAGATTAATTTTTCTTCAGTTTCATGACGAGATGAGGTTTAATGAGCTTTAGATTATACAAAAAAAGGGAATTTTAGGCCAGTCATCCTAAGGTTTGAACTTGATATCTCTAAGGAGCCTTAGATTATACAAAATAAGGGAATATCAGGCTAGTCATCCTAAGGTTTGAACTTGATATCTCTAAGAAATCCAAATCTTTAATGGCTATATCTAATAATGTTCAGGACAATCATCCTTAGCGAGTTTGATTCAAGGTAATGTCACAAATAAGGCCCTATCTAATAATTTTTTTCAATTTGTTTTTTAGTTCATTGCAAATTTAAGAGCCTCTTATCTCCATTCCTATCAATTAGAAGAAACCCATCCAAAAGGGTTATCCAACCAGATAATGTTCTTTTTTTTCACATGGAAGTAAAAGGGACGCCAGTAATCAACACCACGTGCTTAAACATAAATGATAAACCATTGCACTGCTCTATAATGAATGGAGCCCCAGTATGACTCAAGAACTTGACAATCAATAGCATGAGATCATGGATGTCTGAACGGAAGTCACCATCAGATGGAAGATTTGTTGGACTCTCATACACATCAGCATTGAGGGGAACGGTGACTTTCACCCAAGTGATTAGTTCGGCTTTAGTTAAAGCTGACTGGATATTCCAAAGAGCAGGAAGAGTTGTTCCCAGAAAGCTTCCATTGTAGGATGACAAGAATGGCTCATTTCTAATTGCAATATACCTTGTAAATAACTCAAAATTACTAGTGAATAAATCCCCCCCAACACAAGACAAGCTCTATATATAGCGGAACATCTAAACACCATAAAAAGCAGAGCAAGCTCATATAGTATAATCCTAGTCATGATCCTTAATTTGTTTCTTTTTACTTGTGCAATTCAAGTCAAATACATGAACTATAATTAATGATTGGCAAAGCAAATCAATTATTGTCAATGGAAAAAAGATACAAGGAAAGGGATTGATGGATTACCTGATGTCTGCACCACCAGAAGAGATATGAGAAGAGACATTCTTGGCCACCCAGGTGTCAGCAGCTTGCTCGCTATTGGCCAGATTATAAAGCATATCATTGGGAATACCCACCATGACTTGAATCCCAGAATTAGCAAGAGCATTTAGAGTTGCTGAATCAGCATCAAATAGCTTGATCTTCTGAAAACCGTTGTCCCTGAGCATTTTAACCACAGTGGAAGGCGGCAAAGGATGCGTTGCCTGAGTTCCCCAGTTGACTCCAATTTCACTCACGGAATCCACCAGCAATGGAAGAATAGATAAGCATCACAAGGTTAGAACAAGAGGTTGTTGTAGACACCACTCCTTTGATCAAATTACCCATGAAACTATCTCTGGATTCTAAAACATTTATTACAGTTAACTACTATGGTTTGGTTTGGTCTGGATACAATAAACCAGCTAGAAAATTAAAGACAGTTCAAGAGCAACAAAACAACAGGTAGCAAGATAGCAGACGAAGATGGAGATTACAAGGGAAGAGAGAGAGAGAGTATAATACGTGCTTAAGATTGTAGCATATGCTTACATGATAATGCATAATATAATAATAATAAGGATCGTGATAAGGAGGAAAGAATTTTCTTCTATTTTTACCAATCAATGGAGAGAGAAAGAATGTGTTTCGGGTTTAAAAAAAAGTTTTTTGTTAAAGGTTTTAAAGTAAAATACAGTGTGCTAATTAAAGAATTGCATCAGCAGACCTAGACTTGAAGTAAAAACAACTTGTGTGAATGCTTGCAAGATGATGTTCGTGGACATTAATGAACATGTTTTTATACATCCACTTATCGAGGAATTATGAATTTAAATCAATGAGGTTGGGTGCACTGTCCTTGTGTATTCCAATTTATTTGTAAGAAAAATTATTATTAGTCTTAATTAATAAAAATAGAGTGTGCACGTGGATTACAGTTCTTTAATTTAATTATAAAATTCATTGATGACCCTTTTCAGCCTTATTATCTGCTAAATTTCAACCTATCTGTTGATTGTATGAATAGAATGCTCCATCGAGTACTGCCTCGAATGATAAGTTTTGTTATTAAATTCTGTTAATCTGATGGTTAGACCCGTTCGTATTTAATAAAAGATCAATTAAGATAATAATTTGATAAAACTTAATCAATTTGACAGATTAATTTATGATCTAGGCAAAACTGATGGTTTTTTTTTTAAATATAAGATTTGAAATTCATTAGTACTTTAGTATCTTTTTAATGTGAGATTTGAAACTCATTAATATATATACTTTCAAGAAAAAATTATTTTTTTAATGTGAGATAAAAAATATTTTTAGCTGTGAGATAAAAAATATTTTTGATTTAAATATTTTAACTTAAAAACTTAACATAATATCTTTTTAATATTGCATAAAAAACTTTTTAAAATAATTTTTTAAACTTTATTATTTATAATATATATAATTTATATTTATATAGATTTTTTTAATTTTTTTATATGAAATATTAAAATTTTAAATATTTTTTAAATTTTTTCAGGTTAATTTATATTGGCTTATAAAACTCAAAACTCACTCTCTTAGCTGAATCAACTTCTAAACCGAGCTTAATAAGTATGCTAATAAGCATTTCAACCTTTTTAGTCCACCATCCATGCTCATCGTTGAAATAGAATCCATTAATCATGTCAACCGTGCTTTATCTTATATAAATATTTTTATTTTTTATAAAAATATTATAAAATTATTTAAATTCAAATAAATTTTTTTTATAAATATATATAATCAAAAAAATCAAGGATGATATATATTAATAATTAAAAAAGTTATTAATAATGTAAAAAAATAAAACTTTAAAAATCCAATCAAGGATGATATATATTAATAATTAAATAAAAAGTTATTAATAATGTAAAAAAAAAAACTTTAAAAATCCAATAATAGGTATAGATTAGAATATTTAATTTTAAAAGAGAAAGCATTTACTTAGTTATATTTACTAAATTTATTTATTAAAATAATTTGTTTATTTAAGTAAAAAATAAAAAAAATAAAAAAACAAATTAAATTGATTTAATAAAATAAAAAAAAATATCATAAAATATTGTATTTATTAGAAATATTTTTTAAAAATATTTTTTTATTTTGAAAAATGTTAAATAATATATAGTTAAATCAGAAAAAGCTTTTAAAAATTAAATGAAGAAGAGGTTCTTCAAAAAAAAAAAATAGAGAAAATGATATTAATTTAAATATAAATTAAAAGAATTTAGAGAAGAGACAATAAAAAAATCATTAATTTTAAAATATAGAAAAAACATTTTTTTTTCACAAAAAAAACAAAGGTATCAAAGTTAGGCCTGCCACACCATACAAGAGCAATGGTCGTTCATTCTGGGTTGGTCTCTAGCCTGTTCCTCAGTTCTCCTGGAAGAGTATTTAATGCCATGAAGGAAGGGGCAATGCAATAAATCCCTTGAAATACCATGGAAAGGAAGGATGTCAGTCTGATGAGTTGTCGGTCGCCTGGATGTAGACCATTATATATGACGTGTTATTTGTTGAAGTGGGAAGAGGAGAGAATGGATAGGTTTGCGCGAAGGTAGGATGAAAGATGCATTCGCCTTGCCCCTTAAGAATTTATTAACCTGATTGAATACTGATTATTTAATTGCTAATAAATAGCTGGAGCACAGGATGGAGAGTGGAGTGGAGACGGAAGGAAAGAAGCTGGGCTGGATGGCCCAACGAGTCTAATCATCTACTATTATAATAATAAAAAATAGAAATAAAACTCTGGTGATGGTGATGCAGGTACTGGTGGCGGTGATGCAGGTACTGGTGGCTGCTTTCCTTTCCGGTTCGCAGCTTCATTGAAATGAAAAATCTACAAAACCCTACCACCAGTCTAGAGCCCCTAACTAATAAATAAAGTGTCTCCTTCGTTTTGGTCCGCAGCTGCAATACAAAAAAGCTACTCCCTACTCCGTGGCAGTAGCTGTACTAGTGAAGAGCAGGTGGAGGAGACGAGGAGGCAAAATACCGCTGGGTGAAACAGCAGGATTTGAAAAGAGTCAATCTCGATACTGCGGAGCGGAGACAGAGTTCAACGATAACGTGCCTCAGCTTCTCAATTTTAATCTCTCTACCGGCGCCTTCGACTTCGTTGTCGCTCCTCTGGTTCGTCCTTTTCTTGTGTTTAATAACATCTAATTTGACCTGATTTGATTTCTGGTGGCTAGTTAGCCTTTCACATGTTATTTGTGTGAATGGTAGTAGGCTCACCTACATTGATCTTTGGCGGCCTTCCCTTCCGCTCTTTGCTCTTTTCCATGCTTGCAGGCAGCATTCTTCTTATTGCCACTTCTATTTCTTGGCCAGGCTGCCGACACAACATCTTCTGCCCTTTTATTTTATTTTTATATAGTGAATTTACCATTCTAACTCCAAATTCTTCTATTTGATCTATCTATGTTTTCTTAAGTATTGCATGTTAATAATAATTGTGACTGTGATCATATCTATGCAACCTGGTACCTGGCACAGATGAATCCCTCATATCGGCCCAGCTTGTTGGAAAAAGACGGGGTTCTTCCATTTGCTGCATCAGACCTAGTTTCGAGTCCCTCTCAGCGGAGCAGTCATGTTGTTGGTATAAACTCTTCTGCCCCACATTTTTACATGCTTCCCTTCTAACTCTCTCTCTCATGTGCTCCATTCTTGATTTTTCTCAGGAAAAATTACTTCTTGGATTGACTTGGATTCGGTGGATGAAACTCTTCGGATGGATTCCGAAACCACATTGAAGCAAGAAATAGCTTGGGCTAATCATCTCTCTATACAGGTGATTTTCAATCCTGAAATTTAAACTGCTTCTTTACTTCATTCTTTCAAAGTTGCAATGTATTTCAATTGCCATGAACTCCATATAGCCTGACAAGTGGTCGAGAAACCAAAAACTTTTACTATAAGCAAACCCTTTCCTGTTTCTTGTCAATACGATGGCAGTCATTGGAGGTGCATCAGCATACAGGAATTAGTTTGTACAAGACAAATTCTGTATGCTGATAACTTTTTTTGTTCAACACCTTCAATGGCTGTCTTCTTTCCACTTTGGTCTGTCCTAAAGTAAATAAAAGGCACAAGCTGTCGCCCTCTTCTGATTTACCCCCTTGTGCAATATATTCCCGGTGTTCATTCATCTTTACTGTTTGTGTTGTGGTGATTTCCCGTGTTCTAGATATAGTTCTTTCAGAAAAGCCATTTTTAAGAGCCTATGGTGTTAAAGCTTTCATTGTCTGCTGCAGGCATGCATTCTTCCTTCTCCCAAGGGTGCATCCTGTGCTAATTATGCTAGGTGTGTAAATCAGATTTTGCTGGGCCTAAACAAAATGCAGGTACCTTTCGTAATCCAAATCTATTTCCCAATAACTTTTTTTCTTCCTTTCTGTTCTCTTTCTTTGTTGCAGTCTTAATTCTTATTACTTATTTATTAAAGTTGTGGCTTAGGATTCCGCTGGTGAAGACTGATGATGATGATGTTATGGATGCTAACTCTACTAGCTTTGTAAGCGGCATCCCTTTTTATTTTGCCTTTGTCTTTCATTTTGTTAGATCTGTAATATTCGTTACAAGTCTAAATGGTAGGATATGCATGCTTTTTTTTTTTTGTAACATAGCTTCTTGACTCCTCTCCCCATATGGCACCTTTCCTGTATGGTCTGCATTCCTGCTGTATAATGGCAATCAGGGTCTAACGATATGGCTTAGTTGAAATAAATTTTAATGGAATACTATGTAGTCTGAGGGGATTATTTTTCCGGAAAACTTAAAAGAACACTTTATTTTGCTCAACTTCCTTTTCTTCTTCCATGCACAGATTGATTCCTGGGAATTATGGAATGCATTTCGTCTTCTCTGCGAACATCACAGTCAGCTGTTCATTGCACTCGATATTTTGTGAGTTCTAATCTCTCTTGCATTATTGTTTTAATGGTTGCCATATTTTTCTCCAACTTTACCTGATTATGATAAGAATTACATGTTCTCTAGGAGTTCCCTGCCTTCAGTGAACTCGCCTGGCCGTTGGTTTGGAGAACCTCTTACAGCAGCCATAATTAATAAGGATGTGAGTATATTTTGGTTTCCATGTGATTTATTGCATGCTGCTCCTATGATGATGTGGGTTTTAAATGGTGCCATTTTTAATTTACCAGTCTTTCCTAACAAATGGACAGGGTTATTCATGCCTGTCAAAGTGCTATCAGAAGCTGATTGCTGGGTTCTTTTACCATTCAATACAGGTATATGTTGAAAATTTTCTCGACTCCATTGCTTATATGATTTTTTTCCCGTCTTTTTCAAGTTTTAATATTTTTCCTCCGTGCTGAATAGCAGTGTATCTCGCAAATCGTTTACTCAGTATATTTCACAAGTAATTTGTTATTTCTTACTCTTATACATCAATTTTCCATGCTCTGAATTGAGTTTCAGATACTTTACTGTGGTCTAATGGATGACCTGGTATGATTTATCTAAGGTGATTGGCATTGGGATACCTACATACAGTTTTGTTTATAGAAGAGCAACTTAAGCTCTGAAACTTCCCCAGACATTTAGTCCAGTATATTTTGATGCTATTG